GTAAAATCGCTCCAACTATTTTGTTTAAGTGGTCATTAAATCGTGGGCTTGAATCAAATGTAACGCCGAGATCTTTTATCCCACTCACGCGCTCACGCGAGACAGTAAATATTTATGATTACGATAAGGGAAGCAGACGTTCTAAGTTTTTCGAGAAAAGGCCATAACTTTACATTTTCAACGATTTAGAGAAAGTTTGTGTGCTCTACGCCAATCGTTGAATGAACGCATGTCGTCCTGGAGCATCATGCAGTCGCCTAATTTTTGGAATTTTGCGAGATATTTTAATATCAGCAGCATAGTCTTAGAAAGCTGAATGCGATATGACAAAGGAGACATCATTACCAAATATAAAAGATAGGAGGGTACCTAAAACAGAGCCTCTATGCGCGCCTGAGTTCACTATGTCTGTTGGGGAATTTATATGGTTAACTCGAACGAAACCTTCCTTGCCCAGGAAGTAGCTCTTAAACTATTCGAGCACCTGTCAGAAAAACACCAGAGCGAGAATGTTTAGATATTAATATTCTATGGTCAACCAGGTCAAAATACGCAACCAAGGTCATTGTTCCTTAAAGGAAACCTTGGTTTCAGTTATGCACTTCGAACAACGTGGTTAAAAGTGCCTCTTGGTAAATACCACAAATTACTTCGACAAACACAGCAACTCAAATTCCGAATCAACGTTGGACTAAAGTTGAGAAATGCGATCGGCATGTTTATTAGACATATTTGGGAGATAGAAACACACCCCTCTAAAAGTGTAAAACAGCGAACATAAAGTAAGGTCAAATAACTCAAGTTTCAAGCCATTGAATAACACGCGAAGAAAAGGCAACGTCTATTTATTATACGGAGCCGACAAATAACAAACATATGTCAACATAGGAGCCTAAGAAACAATGCCCAAACAATTTGGGCAGCTTTCGAGCGCATTTGTTATCCCCCCCTCCCCCCCCCCCCCCCCCCCCAAAAAAAAAAAAAAAGGAAACGAGTGCATTGATTTCTTTAGCGTTCTTTCGCCATCCATTCTTATTCCATTAGTTAATCTCATATGTCCGACTATAATCTATTGAGATATACTGCATACACAATAAGAAAAGGTCGTCGTATGTAAATACCCGCGTCCCGTGTCTCCCCCTTCGATATCGTCGAATACGAAAGCGACCATTGCGAAAACGACCCGAAAGAGGCAACAACTACGTTCGAAGAATAAAAAACGACGCCTTTCGCAAGGACGCCGGCGCTCCATCACTCCTACCCTGTCGACTGGAAGGGAATGCCGGGGCTTAACGCAAACGGGGATCCCGCTGTCTTTGAGACGCCTAACGCGGAGGAAAGACTCTCAGCTCCTAAGCCCTGCCGCCGGAGGTCAGTGTCTTCTATAACCATAAACGCTCGGGCCGGCATTAGCGGCCACGACACGGGCGGCGTGGCGACGCCTTCAACAGCACAATCCCCCGCCTCCCTTCCGGCACGAACGAGGTCAGAATTGGCGGCCATAAGTATTTACGAGTCTGGAGGGACGGATTAATCAGTCCTCAGACTCCCTGATTACCGCTGGGGGACCCCCGTGCATGGAGACAATGCGAGAAGATGGAAACGAATGCCCCCGTGCTACCTCGAGCCCTCGGAGCTATCCAATCTGTTGCTTTCGCGGTCTTCGAACCTGGTTCCTAGCGCTCGATTTGGAGCCGATTTAATGGAGCGCGTTGAAAACCACCCGTCCGGAGGGGCGGCCGTTCCTGTTCTCGCCGCTTGCTCAAGAGCCAATATGGTTTCAAAAGCGCTTCCACAATAAGAGTCGAATTGCTTAAATCCCGCGATGAATAAACAATTGCTCTTTCTAATTCTACGTAATTATTTTTTTTCTGCTTTCCCTTTGTTTGCGTTATGCAAATGTCGTTTCCACAACCCATCATCGCACCCTCCGTATTTTGCAACTTGTTTTCTTTTTTTTAATTCCAGACAATCACATTTTTAATACGAAAGCATTAACTGACCCATGGAGCGGATCCGGCGTTGTCCGTAACCGGGAAAAACGGCGGAGAAATTGCCTCCGCGCCGTAGCCGCGAAAACACGGCAGAGAAATTCGCTCCTCGGAACGGCTATTAAAATGGCAGCGACGCGCCGGATTGGCTGCGGCCCGCGCGACGCGGCAGCGCTCTAGAGAGCGGCGGGTGCGCCGCAGAGCCTGGCCGGCTGACCTCTGCGGAGGATAGCGGGGCGCCCAGATTGTGGGAATACGCTACGCATACGTATGCTTTCGCATTCCTACACGTAGGCGGTCTGAAGTGTCCTCCTGTACTTCTTGGAGGTACTTCGGATTTGGGTAGCCAAAGTATTATGGGCAAGCTAAGCTCGGTCTGCTCAATTCCAAGAAGCGAACAGCGCTTCGCTAGACGACCAAGAACAGGTAACTTCCGAATGATGCAAGGATAGATTAACTCGGGTATACCGACAAAACTAATATGGTTTGGTCAGTGTACCCAGCATATAGACGCTTTACACACGCGCCAAATTACAACCGCCATTGCTGACCTTCTCCTGTCTTACCGAGATGCCGAGCAACTGAAACGGTAGTTGATGATCCTCTACAAATGCCGATGCTTTAGAAAAGGACACTGTTGAATCTAATATGGCAATAACCTGGCCTGCTATAGTAATGATGAAGTGAAATAAACGAAATAAGAGGAAACAAAAACTGAAGGTCAGTTATGGCGGCGCCCATGCACAGCTGCTGCAAAGCGTCTATACAAGAAACGTATACTGTACCAGGAAAGCGCGGTGGAACTTGAGGCTGGAGGTATCTTTGACTCAAGATTTTTACTTCATCCACTTTTTTATCCTCAATGCTTCGCCTTGAGAACTAGAAGACTTTTTTAATGCCTTAGTCTCCTTCCACGCAGTATTAATTTTTATATTGATATTTGTAACTATAAGCTAAATTCACTCCTGGTTTTTAGATTTAACTGCTTCGTAAACAAAGATTATCGGCTATTCACAGGCAAACATTTTAAAATAAAATTAATTAATTAAAAAAAATGTTAATTAGCGTTTTCCTTATCTTCCAAAAGAATTACGCGAGTATTCTAATTCAACGGGATACAAATACACAATCCCCAGGCTTAGGATACTTGATTGAAAACATCCTAATTTTGATTTGTCGTTTGCTATGACATCTTTACGAATTTTAGGGTGGGCATAAAGTTAAAATAGTTTTAAAAATTTTGCGCCCCTTATCCCCTTTTATTATTGCTGATCCCCAGTCTCAGTTTTTTGTAAAGACGGACATACAGTATCGCCAAGACACGATGGAATCCTTACTACCTCTGTGGTAATGATTGGTTCATAAATAGACGCGGCCGAAAATACCTCATGGTCAGTGCTTAGATATTATTACCACAGAAATTGCGGTGAGACCCACGCGGAAAATAGATAATTTGTAGCAACAAAAATAAGAATCGAAATAAGAGAAGGACTACACATAACTTCCATTTCCGTACGACTTATCATTTGTACTACGCCCAACACAACAACCTGGGGCCAAATGGGGCTTTGATAACGTGTTAAAGGAGCGAAAGCGTTCTCATTTAAGAACGAAGAGAAACAAAAAGAAAAGTGAGAGAGATGTCAGGAAACAAAAAAAAGGGTGAGAAGGGTCGGGTCTTTAGCAAAGCGCGTTTTGTGCCGGACAAAACCCGATGTCCGTTTAATATGTTCCGTGACGAAAACGATTGTCCGCAGATGAGACAGTACTTACGGCGTCAAATAAGCAGCTGCGTGTAACATCCGGGAAACACGCGAACGCAGTCTTAGATGTTTTCGTGACTCACACGCAGCGGAAAACGGCAGCGGCCCAATGGTAAACAGCGGAAAAGAAAGAGACGTTCCATGCCATGCAGTTGGAATCGCGGAAACTAAAGTAACGGCAGACACGAAACGCGGCACCGAATGGCCACACGCGGACCCGCGCGAAAAACAAGGGTTTAATTAATAAAATGTCATGCTTGGAGGAGGTACCATTTCGATTTCCCGGCATGCGACTACAGCTGTCACATGAGCGATTTTGTGCACAATCGCCAGCGTCTTTAGTGAATAATATCTTGTATATTGAAAGCTGCAGATAGTTCAAGAATAAAGAGGCGCCTTTTGCCTCATATTAAGAGCAAACTCTGACTGATCTATATGTACCTCTGAAATGCACGAAGAACGCAAGAACAGTTAGGTATAGAAAACACCCACCCGTTCTTGTTTTCGTGGCGCTTTTCGCTTCAATGTTTTATATCGAGTGGCCAAATGTAGCACTTGGGTTTTTACAGCCGCGCGCACTAACTAACTGCAAAACTGCAAACTGCAAATCTACCAGGTGTCCAGGTGTTTGATGTGACAACACGAAACGGACGACGGCCACTGTAAATTCTGTTTCAGGTCACAAAGAATACGTCATTGTGACTTTGTGCGTGCTTTACGAGCGTGCACGCTGCCATTAGATGTTTGCGATGTGTCGCTGTATGTCGACAGTTACCGTGTGGCCTCGAAAACTTTAAACCGGGTCCCTTCGCCGGCTGAGCCGCGGTCTCAAATTCAGTTTTAAGCCCAAATGAGGGATGCCACAAATCATCATACAGCCATCGAAGCATAACACTGAATTCTGAAAATGTAGCGATCCTCGGGGTTTGTAGAAGGCAAAAAAACAAGCCTGCACAGAAACGCGTCACTTTCTCCCCTAACCCGAGAACGACGCACAAGGTTGCCCTAAGCAGAACGGCGGGACCAAGGGACATAATACTCCGCTCCCCGCCTCGATTGGTCAGCGCTACGCGCAACCGCTCGCGCTCTTTAGATCGACGGGCGGCGATGTACCGGTCCCCTGGTCCTGCCGTCCAGCTTAGGGCTCCAGCCGTGCGCCTGAACCCAAATCCCACACCGCCTGCCCGGCATTGGTTGAGAAGGCTCGTATACAACCAACTGCATCGTTACGTCCTGAGATACTCACAGTAGACGTTCATGACCCAGCGGTCGAACGGTGCTCGAGCCGTCGGCGGCAACGCTGGGTTCCTGGCGACGCAGCGAAGGTTCTGACCGTGGTCCTTGGATGAGGGGGTAAAGGTGACCACCGAGGTGGACACGTTGCCATCGGCGGACGCGTGGCCGAAACTCTGGGCCACCTCGAGGCCCCGCTTGTACCAGGTGAGCTGGGCGGGAGGCCTCGAACCCTGGGACTCGCAGACGAGCTCGACCGGAAGACCCGCCGTCAGGGCACCGCCCGAGGCACGCAGGATGCGCGCCGTCAGCGGAGCCACTGCGGCCGAGGACCCGGACTAAGCGTCGGGGACTCCGAGAAATTTCGCTCATGTGCGCTAGTTCGCTGCAGCGACTGAGACCGCTACAGCATATCAATCACGAAATGGTGACCGCTCTTTTTACAGCGTAGCTGTTTATGGCTAGGGTTCCATGCATTTGGCATCCGTGTGCAGAAACTAAATTGCATGTAAAGGCGCTCCATTGTACGGAAATGCATCTACGCCCAGTCACTTCGATATGCATTTTGATGAGGAAAGACGTCGAACGTGTGATAAGGGAGATGCATCCGACAACACTGGGCCTTCTTCCGCTCGAGTCGAGTGATGTCACTGCTTTACATAGACTCTAAAAAAAGTTTGTGCGTCAAATTTCACGCACAACACTCGGAAAGCCAATCGTCGCAACTTACAGAGGCAGCTCAGCGAATGACAATGCTGAAACATATGTTTAGACCAAAAAACGCAGTCTGAGTTGTGACATTAAGCAATGCAAAACGTCACGCTTGCATTGCTTAATGTCACAACTCAGACTGCGTTTTTTGGTCTAAGCATATGTTTCGGCTTTGTGATTCGCTGAGCTGCCTCCGTAAGTTGCGGTGATTGGCTATCCGAGTGCTGTACAGGAAAGCAGACGCACGGGCTTTTTTATAGTGTATATAAAAGCAGGAGCTTTTATATATGTAAAGCATTATATGTATAGATTTAACTTCAGCAAATACTCTCACCAAAGTTGTAATGGAGTAGTGTACATATATAATTGTGATCACTAAGCAATCATCACTGCCGTTTCAAAGTTATGTATACACTGTAAATAAGCATTCGGTGAAGTGCTCTTGTGTGTCTCTTGGTGAATCATTTGTGGTGATGCTCGACAGCTTCGATGGCCAACCACCTTCACAAAGTGGAATGGCGTACAATTTTTTTCTTCTGATGAAGCTCATTTTGTGAACCCTTGAATTTAAATAAAATCCGACGACTACGTTCAAGAAGGAGCAAAAATTTTGTGATTAAACGGGCAACTGATTGAGGACTGAAGCGTCTCGCACAGTCTTCAATACACACCTTTTGTTTTGCTTTTGATTCATTCATTGATCATTCAGTGACCATTCAAGGATTTGTGAACTGAATACCGGCGATAAATTTATTAGTGCCTTGAATTGACCTCCAAAGCATCCTTTGCGCGTACTTGTCCAGGGGGCTTGTAAGGATCCATGCAGCCTCACTAACAATTAATGCACGCATCGAACAAGATTACTAATTGCCGCTACCTCTCGTCCGGTTGCCCTACCCTCGGTCACCTACACCCATGCCGAAGGGAAACACACACACACACACACACACACACAAACACACACACACACACACACACACACACACACACGCACGCACGCACGCACGCACGCACGCACGCACGCACGCACGCACACACACACAGTCTTTTTTTTTTTTCCAGTATTTGTCTAGCTTCTTCCACCTGTTAGTTCTGCCTTGTATCATGACCCGCACGGATCATGACCCAGAACGAACACGTGCGAACCTAAAGCGCTCTTGCGTGTTTTCGTTCCGTCAGATCTCAAAAGAAAGGCTTCCTGGTTTCACTCACGGTTCATGTCCAACCGGACGGCCGTTCTGACAGGCGCCGCCACGCCGTTGTCCACCTGGCAGAAGAGCCTCGAGTGCAGGTCCTCGCGAGACAGGGGTCCCAGGCGCAACCGACTCAGCACCAAGACGGAGCCCTGCGTGTCGTCCAGGGCCGAACTGACCGTCGTAACGGCGTTGCCCGACACGGCTTCGGCTCCTCCGATGCCGGGCTCCTCGGGAGTATTCGGACGCCAGGCTCGCCTCAGCCACTGTACCTCGGGAGCAGGACTTCCCGCTGCGCAGGAAGGAAAAGAAAATGCGATTTAAAGGAGGACCCAAGGGGGGGGGGGGGGGGGGGGGGGCAGCGTGATTGCAATTTAGCTCGCGCAATGCACCTGAATAGACCTTTTCCGCTTACTCTCGCCCCCGACCGCCAAGTAGGCACATCCGGTATGGGCGACACAAAAATATCAAAACGTTTCAACCTGCAAATATTAAAAAAATAGAGGGAAGTCAAAACGAGAATGGGTGACGGTTACACTTATCTTCTAAATACATTCTATTGGCGTGGCGACGTCAAAACTATGTTTTCGCCCATACTGGAAGTGACGACAATTCAAAATGGCGGCGCCCTTGCGAAAAGGGTCTATACATCGCATTTTTCCGATCTAGTCGTAGTTTGAACTTCGCCATTCGCTGGATTACTTTTATTCCTCGCAGTGATTGGTTGTGTAAGTTTCTGCACGAAAGTGAGCTCACAGACATTTTTAGAGTGCAATAAAGAGCACCACAGACGAGCCAGCGAAGCACCGATCGTTAATTTAGGCCACCCTACGGATAATTAAAACGTGGCGGAAATCTCGGTCACTCCTACGCGTCACCAAATCACACTAAACCTTCGTCGAATCGCGTGTGTACATGAGCCAACTAGTGATTTGTAGGCCGGCTCCTCAACTCGGAGCCGCCGAGGAGGCCTTTCTGCGAAGGAAGTCCCCTTTCGCATGCCGGCTTGAGAGGGGACATCGGCTGCTGGAAGACTGATAAGGCGCGCTCCTTAACGAGAACCAGGCAGTGGTGAATTCACGGACCCGAGACTAGTACAAGTCTCCCACGTCGACAGCCGGCAGTAGCCGGCGTCTGCAGCATCACGTTTCGCTCAACGTGGTGCTGATGCCGCCTTCCGTTAACGCTCGGCCGCCTATCCTTCAAATGGCTCGTTCCACACAACCAACTGTAAGCTCTGAAATATGAAGAGCAGTTGGTTTTTCGGTCTGCAATCAGCCCACCGAGAAAAAAAAAAAGTTTTTTTCTTATTGTATGCTCATATATGGATACAAATATGACACCCTTCTTAATCCGGTTAGCAAAATTACGTATGCATGCAGGCCGTCGGGAAGATGCTCCATTAATATGATTAGAGGGTACGTGCTCTCCCGAGTTTATTAGCAGAAGGAATCGAGCGGCCTCTGCTTTGCCGTTTTGTTGTTCACAATAACGCGCCAACTTTGGCGCCTCTCAGCAAAGAACCACATCGTAGCTGCACAGAAGTTTCGCGTTATGGAACATGGGATTTCCAGCTCTAGATGCCGCATCCACAAACCAGTAGTTTATCCGTCTCCTTCTCTCAACGTCGACTATAAATTCTGCTAAGTAAATCGATTAACGAAGTGTGCGGCGCTTAGCCTCCAACGGCGATGAAGTGGCGACGAGCAAGCTCGACGCTATGCAAATTCCCGACATTAGCATAAGTTTAGACGTGGGCATCGATTACGACGGCGCCCCAGAAAAAGTTGAAGCAACTGCAAGGCCGGAAACGATGTTTTCCTTAGCGATCCTAAAATAAGCATTTTTACCCACCCTCACTCCCTTCCCCGCGGGTTTCTCATCGCGCTCCAAAAACACACTAAAGTTGGAAACTTTCGCTCTACAACGAATGTTTACACCAGCAGTTGTAGCGAAGGTGAATAGCTTCTTTGAGGCAAAAGAAAACGGGTCAAGCTGGTGTGTTTAAAATCAATTTCTATTTGGATAAATGTAATACTTTAATCGCTTGCTATATTTATGCAGTTCATCTCATAATAGAAACGCATGCTGCAGCCTTTTTTTTTTTTCAGGGTCTGTAATGAGAAATTTTAAACTCGCTGGGGCTGGCGAACCTTCAACTTGTCATGCTACATACGTGGTTCCTCAAGTTATTTCCGATCAGTTTGTACCAAAAACTTGCGTATACATTTGTGTTAGTTGTATTCCTGGCAGCTACAAAAAAATCAACGATCGACGAGTCGCCAAAAGGATAGGTCTCGAACGAAATTCGAACGCGAACTGAAAACCGGATCAAAACCGTTATTTTTGACCAAATCGGAACAAAAACAGAAACTGAAATCGAACATTAGATATTAAACCCGAATTAGACGAAAACCACAATCTTATCTGGGGGCTAACGGTTCACTGGAGCACGATCCAAGTAATGAAATGTCAGTCGCGATTGTTTCTCCGGGTGGCGGTGCGAGGTTAATTTCAATATTCTCGATGGTGGCGTCAGCGGAGCAATAAATGAACGGCAGCGACGTGAAGCAGCTCAATAAAAATGAAACAAATAAAAAAAAACATTTTACGTCTGTGTGCAGCACGATTTGGAGTGGCGAGTCGACGCCGAGGCGTACGCTTTTATAGCTAATATGCCAAGAGACAGAATAGCTATTCTTTGTTCGTTTGTTTTCTTGCTGGCAAAGAATGCTCCCCCAACGGAAGCAAAGACAATCATAAAAAAACAAAATAGAGAAATGGCAGAGTGCGTTTATTCTGAGGTGGCACAAACTTAAGGCACCACAGAGAACTGTAGAGGCAAAATAAAGCCACGAGGAGCGCGGCAGAGGGCCGTCTGGCGCTGGGACCGCATTCGACCGTAGGTCTAAACGTTGCTTGAAAAAACGCTTATTTATTTCGCGTTTTTTTTTTTTTTTTTTTTTTTTAAATACAGCATGGCGTCTGGTCTTTTTTCTATGAATTGTCTAAGCATCTTTCAACTGGCTGTCACCGTCATTTTTGTCTTCAACTCTGTAAATCCAGATTAATAGCTTGCGAATCCCGCATGTTAGTACTGCACTTCTGTACTGTTTCACAGCGCCAGTATGACTACGTAATTTGCGTATACTGATGCTTCCAATAAAAAGTAAAAATCACAAAAGGAATTGAAGCACATATTTGTTCTGCTGTCCCTGTTCCCGCAACACAACTTCTACTAACCAGTTTTTTTTTTTCTTGTTTTTTTTTTTTTTTTGTAGTAAACGCGAACAATGTCAAGTTGAACGCAGTTTTTTTTTTTTTTTTTTTTTTTTTTTTGAGCGACTGCAAACTATGAAACTTTCATTTTTATTTAGCACAAGAAATGCATGGGCGGCCGCGGACTAAGATAGAGCTATGAAACGGTTTGAACCGACTCGCGCTTGGCGGAACTGGTAACCGAGGAGATATTTCGAAAGTATTACTGAATCGGAAACGATCCGGAACAAAATTACAAAGCCCCTGAACCCGATTCAAAAGCAAACTCGAATAATGAATGGTTTCACATCTTGTTCAAAACACGCCCAAGCAAGCAGTTTCGCTACGGAACCAATCGCGAGTCGGAAAGGCGCGCTTTCATATTCTTTTCCACCCGTGATTGAACGGTCGGAAGCAGCGTAATCGACCTCTCACCACTATAAACTTGGTCGTCACACGGTTGAAAAATGTAACTCTGGTGTTCGTTTCAGCGGGTCCATATCACATGAGCGAATGACGTTTAAGCAAAGAGCGGCATTTGAGCGAATCGACGTTTTAGCGAATAACGGGGGCGCGTGTTGACCCACCCCCCGCGCTGCGCTTACGCCGCTTAGCGGTGACGGTCTGCGGCTGCTCATTACAAAAATGTGAACGCACTTGGCCCACGTACCCGTTAAAAGCCGCTTCGCGGCGGCCGACTATTCGCTAAAGCGTCGATCGGTGAAACGAGGGCGTTCGCTAAAACGTCATTCGATCAAGTGTGTGCCTACCCGTTTTAGCTCCCGCGAACGCAACTGACGCAAATGTCTGAACCATCCCCGACGCAGTACCAGCTGCTTCATTAGAGCAGATTGTTCAAAATAATGCGGCATTTGCTCGCGAGACCGTCCTTGTCCATAATTACACGAGGAGGTTTGCGCGTGCTAAATAAGTCTCGATCCAATTAGGAGCAGAGAGGCCTTGGGATTCATGCCGCGCCAAAATGAACCGAACTCCAAGCGGCGTCCGCCAAGACGAGGGAACCCCCGTAGGCGTCATTGTGGCCCGATTATTAATGCCTCGCCGGCGTTAATCAGTTGCCGCGAACTCCGGGCTTCAAAAGCGACCCGCACCGTATACACACATGCCCGCTCGCAGAAAGTAAAACGAAAGCGCTTTGTTGGCGAGAGCGCATCGCTCGCGCGCGTCCCCTAAACTTATCGATCGACTCGCGTTTTGGCCCGCAGCAGGCGCCGACCGCGGGCCCGCCAACTCCCCCGAAACGCAGCTGTGCGCCTCACAAGTTAGAAAAAGGCGCACAATTAGGCCACTCGTCAACGTCGCCGAGGACAAAAAAAAAAAAAAAAAAAACGGCAGCACGCCGGCGATATCATGGGTGCCGCGACTCGGGGGCTCGCGTGTTCAGGTGCGCCCGCTCCATCGCGAGGCGCATCCAGGTGCGAAGAACGCACGTGCGGTGGCCCCGGCGAAAAGTGCGCCCGTGACACCAGTAATGCGACGGCTGCACCTCGCGCACAAATGATAATGCTCGGCCATCTGTTAGAAAGGGACGCGCGTCCGACTTCCGCGCTGCGACGTCCACCGAGCTCGCGCGCACTCATTAGCGTCGCCACGGGGGCCGGCACTAGGGAAGCCACGTCACGGACTGTGACTGGCTCCGCGCTGCCTGGCTGTCGTCTAGATGAATGGTGGGGACGCGGGGACGGGCCGCCTCGGAGCAGCGGCGCAAGAAGGACGTCTCGGGGCCTGCACCGCGCGCGGGCCTCGTGCGCCGACGCTTCACCGAGAGCCGCAGCTCTCCCCGGACGCTGCTACTCGGCGCGCTCGTGTTTACAACGGGCGGAAAATGAGTTTGCTCTAAGTGAGGCCGACATGCTAAACTGTCAGAAACTGCGGGTACCGCCGGAAGCTCGCTTACCAGGAGTTATGTGCGCAGCGTGCGGACGTTGCAACCGCGGGTTCCATTTTTTCGTTGTTGTTGTTACATAATTTTAAACCGCCTCCGAGTCCCGTTCGCATGCGCGAGCTCTCGAC